TTATTTAATGCAAAGTCCGAGAATTTGAGAATTTTTTTGGAAAAATTTTCTTAAGAAATTTTAAAAATAAAATAATTTGTATAGTCAAATCTCATTTTTAAATATAAAATTGGGAATAAAAAATCTTAAATGGGAGATATCGTTTCCACACCTTTTTTAATCTTGGATTTAGAAAGAAGTTTTTCTAAATTTTAATTTTATTTATTCATGAATTTCTTAAAGGAAATCAACTTTTCAAAGTTTTGTTTTCTCTTTTTTCCAAATAAATACCTTTTAAATTTTCTACCTAATTCCAAATTTGGAGGAAAGGTAGAAATAGGCCCAACCTAATTAAAGAAATATAGATTGAGTATCTAGAAATGAGCTTTGACTGTACAAATATTTAAAAATAAATATTTTTAAAATTTTTGTGTTTTAATAAAATAAAAATAAATAAATGTAAAGAGTTTCTTTGCAAAAAAATTTTTTTGCTCAAAATTTCTCTAAATTTAAGATTTTTTATTTAAATTTTTGAGAAAAAATTTATTTAAATTTTAAAATAACAAAGAAAAAACCTTTTCTAAAAATTCCATTTTTCCAACAAAAAAAAACAATCAAACCATATCCTTGTAGGACCTTCTCTGTTTGTCTTTAAAGAAATAATCTGGCTCCCTCTTCCACAATCCCAATTCCCTTTCATTACTTAATTCGTCTTGTTTGTGGTAATTGTGGTATTGAAGTAAATAATTAATTCTTTTGTTTAATTGGTGGAAAGAATGGGGAGAGGTTTGTTGGATTTTTGGGCCGTAAACATTTCTGAAAATTAAAAAAAAATTTTTTTAATTTTTAGAAAATTAAATTTGATATTTATTTTGATTTTTATTACAGGGTACAAGAAATATTTTTTCTGGTAATAAACCCGAAATATTTTTACCAGAAATATTTTTAACTAATTTTTCTGAACGCCTTTACTCGACAAATTAAAAAAATAAAATTAAAATATCTTATGAGCCAACGGCGAGGAAAATAAAACAAAACTTTAAAAAATGATCTTGAAAATTTTTGCCGTCTAAAAAAATATCAATTTCGATAACCGGGATTTTTGTTCAAAATTTCGTCTCGGTCCAATCTCTATGTGAAACACATTTCTATTTTCGGTTAATTTTCGTTTTGCCGTTGACTTTTCTTAATATCTAATTATAATATAAAATGAGAGCCCCTCCTTTCTTCAATCCTAAATATTTATAATTAAATAAACAAACCTATAATGAATTTTCCTAATTAATTCATTTGCTCTATGATTTCCAGGAAATCCTCTTAACCATCTCGGAACATGATAAAGAAGTTGTGAAGGATGTAAAGAACCATCTCCAAGAATGTCAATATAATCATTTTCTCCAAATCTAGCATTACTTTCCTTCCATTGGTCTTTAACCTTTAAAAATAATTTTTTTAATTTTAAAAAGAAATAAAAAAATCTGTGCCAAATTTTTAAACCACCATTATATTAAGATTTAATTTTTGTTGTTATTCATCAGGAGGTTCACTTAGAAAAGCAAAAACAAACATTTTTGCAAATTTCAAATTTTATAAGTAAAGCATAAAAATGAGAAGATAGCATTTATTAAAACTAATTTTTTAACAGAAAGGACCGGCATTAATGCTAAAAGTAATTCTTTTTTTGTCATTTCAAAAATTTGGCCCTATACGCAAATAAGAGTCGAATCATTTTTTCCTTCATTTTTTCATTTCTTAAATTGGTTAATTTTCCTTAGTAATTATTCTATAGGGTCAAAGAAATTTTTAAACTTTTTCTCTCTAGACTGTAAGTTCCCTTAACTTATTTCTTCTTTAAATAAACTAATTCAATTTTTGGTGTAAAAGAAATCTCGAAAACCAGAAAAGCCTTGCCAAATTTACGTTACTTTTGCCCTATTATTAATACAATTCAGTTAAAATAGGCACAGATATTTAAAAATGACAAAAAATTAAAAAAAAACCTTGTCTTTCGGTTTAAATAAAGGCTCCTTCAAATTTGGAATTCTTGGAAGAGGGTCAACGCCTGGACGGTGATAACGATAAAAATAGCCAGTATCAGCCAATTTTGTTGTTCTTTTACGTCTGTCATCAGCAATTCGTGGAACTTGTGAACGATCGTGCCAAAACCGAATATTTGTTGTTAAATAATTTGTTTTGACAAATTTTATTAAATTTGGAAACATCTAAAATATTTTTTAAAAAATCTGAAAAAAAATTTGAAAAATAAAAAGAAAAATTGCAAAATGTGGCAGAGACCCGTATTCTTTCTTCGCCTGTTCATTGCTAGCAGAGGTGGGCCGGAATTCCGATCTCCTACGTTTTTTCCTTACGATTTCCGACTTCTGAAAAAAATTTTGATTTCGAGTTCCGACTTTTGAGTTCCGATTTCCGACACCTCTGACTGTTACGACCCACCTCTGATTTCTAGTCCTATTTTGCCTACAATTTTGTTTTGTCGCCATAATTGGACTTAAAAGGCTCATTGTTAGGAATGAAAAAATTAACAAATATTTATTGTTAAGTTTCAACAAATTTTTGGAAAAAATAAAAAATAATAATAATAATATTTATCAAAAAGTCAAGATCACCGCGACATTAAAATAAATAAATTTGTTTAAATCTTTTAGAAACCGCTCAGAAATGAATGGATTTTTAACTCGACTAGAAAAGATAAATTGATGGAAATGTTGGAATAAATAAAAATTCCTGAGCGGATTCAATCCAATACCAAAAGAAAAAATAAATAGGCAAATAGTCAAAAAACATTAACAATAAATTCGTTCAATTTCAATATTATTAAATACTTTCAAATTTCCCTCACATAAAAAAGAAAATTTAACTTTTGGATTGAATTTGCTGGAAAGTTGGTATTTTGTTTCTACAAAAGTTCCGATGACAAGTTTCTTTCCAATTTTTTTAGCTCTTTCATTTAAAAAAGTAAAAGGAATATTACAACACTGTAATTCAATATTAGCCACCAATTTTGAACTATCCTTTGACGTTTCAATATGCTAAAATAAAAATAAATTTGGATTCTTCAAAAATATTCTGTAAAAAATTTCTGCATACGGGAAAAAAAGGATTGTCCTAACTAGAGACCGGCGCGGGACGGGATCCCGAAATCCCGGATTTTTTTGATTTTCGGGATCAACCGGGATCCGGGATTTTTTCGGAATTTATCCCTCGGGATCCAGTCCCGGCATCGGTCAAGAAAAAAATCTCGACTCGGGATCCCGGAAGTGCGATTTTGCCGGTCTCTAGTCCTAACAAGGGAACCTTTCAAACTTTAAGTCAAAATTTTGGGCTCTTTTTTGACCAATAGATAGAGCATTATTGATTTACTTTAGAAAATCTTTTTCTTTTTTCCACAGAAATAGGAAACTTAAAAGTTATGGGGCTTCAGTTTGTGAAAATTAGGATTGCTTGAGTTCTCCCAATGAAAGAAAACCCTATTTTATTCAATCTGCCCAGGATCGGACGGGCCAAGAAAATAAGCACAAAAACTTACATTTATAATACAATCAAAAAGGTTCTGCACTTTTTTCGACACTAAACAAACATTGTTAAACTTGTCTCCACTCATTAAAATTTTAAATAAAACATCTGTATATTTTGTCGCGTCTTCATCATATAGATTAATTTCAAAAGTTTCACTAATAATTAGATGATTCAAAATAAATTTTAATACATTTCCAATATTGTAATCCAAAAACACAGAAGATCGCCGAATATAAAATTGTTTTGAATTTCCAAATAATAATTGAATTAATTCCGGATTGAATGTAAAGTCATCAAAGTTGCCATAATCAAAAGAACAATTAAATAATTTGTTTAAGTAATAATAAACAATTTTGATTTGATTTTTGCTTCTAATAATGGTTGGTAGTTGAAGTTGAAGACCTTTAATTTTTGAACCGTCCGAAATAAATTCTTTAAAAAAAAGTTAAAGGAAAATTATCAAAATTCAAAAAAAGTTATTAAACAAGATTTAACCTTTATCTAACCAAATAGCAATATTATTGTTCGAATATTGACTAGCCAAATAAAGAGGAATTGGTTTTTTGATTCCATTTTTCCACTAAAAAAGAGGAAATTTTAATATTTTAATTTATTCTATACCTTCTCTTCAAGTTCTTCATTCAATGCAAGATCAAAATTTTTAACATTTGGTTTAATTAATTTAAAATGAGGTAAACACTTTTGTAGATAAGAATGGTCCTTAAATATTTAACAATTTAATTTAATAAAAAAAACCTTACAATATTTATTTCGTCAAATTTCTCTCGAGCAAGTTTCCCTTCAAATTCATTGATAAAATTACGGAAATACAAATTTGTTTGTTTGATTGAACATAATTTATTATAGTTGAAAAATTTAAAAATATCAAGTTGAACTTCAGTTGGTAAATACTTTGCAAACAAAAAAGTCATTTTTGAAAATTTGTTTAGCACTAAAATTAAAAAAAAATATTTTAAAAAATTTAGGTAATTTTAAATTTTGGTTCCCCATTTTTTCATTTACCAAACAAAATTTATGCTTTTAAAAATCGTGGACCGAGATATAGTAGAACTTGGAAAGAGTCAAAACCTCCAAGGGAACCAAGCTGATTTTTACGGTCAGATTCAAATATTCAAAAAAATTTTAAAAAACCACAAAACAAAAATGTCAAAATATTAAAAACGTCACCAACGTAAAGCGAAGAAATGAAATTGAAGACAAAATTTACAAAAAATAAATTTACAATATTTATTGTTTGCTTTCAACAAATTTTTGGAAAAATAAAAAAATTTAAAAAATATTTATCAAAAAGTCAAGATCACCGTGAAAATAAATAAATTTGTTTAAATCTTTTAGAAACCGCTCAGAAACTCAAAAATAAATTGAAAATAATTCTGAAAATGTTGGAGAAAATAAAGATTTTGAGCGGATCCAATCCAGTACCAAAAGGTAAATAAATAAATAGGTAAATTGTCAAAAATACATTAACAATAAATTCGTTTAATTTCTATATAATTAAATTCTTCCAACTGTTTCCTACATAAAAACAAGAATTTAATTTTTGGATTGAATTTGCTGGAAAGTTGGTATTTTGTATTTATAAAAGCTCCGTTGGCAAGTTCCTCTCCAATTTTTTCAGCTCTTTCATTTAAAGAAGTAAAAGGAATATTACAATCAATTAATTCAATCTTAGCCACCAATTTTGAACAATCCTTTAACGTTTCAATATGCTAAAATAAAAATAAATTTGGATTCTTCAAAAATATTCTGTAAAAAAATTTCTGCAATCGAAAAGTTGGGACTGTCCTAGCAAGAGAACCTTTATAGATTTATTGAATTTTAGAAAATTTTTTTGTTTTTTTTTTCCAGAAATATAAAACTAAAATGTTATTAGGCTTTAAAGTTTGCAAAAATTGGATTGCTTGAGTTCTCCCAATGAGAAAAAATCCTATTTTAATCAATCTGACTAGTTTAAGAGTAAACACCAAAATTGGACGAACCAAAAAATATTAAAAATTATTTGAGTTGTCTGAACTCTTAAGAAAGTATATATAATGCAAAAGTAAGAATAAAAACTTACATTTATAATACAATCAAAAAGGTTCTGCACTTTTTCCAATTCTAAACAAACTTTATTAAACCTGTCTCCACTCATTAAAATTTTAAACAAAATATCTGTATATTTTGTCATTTCTTCATCATCTAGATCTTTTAAAGAAGTTTCATTGGTAATTAGATAATCCAAAACAAATTTTAATTTATTTCCAATATTGCAATGTAAAAACATAAGAGATTCTCGAATATAAAATTGTTTTGAATTTCCAAATAATAATTGAATTAATTTTGGATTGAATGTAAAGTTAACAAAGTTGCCAAAATCAAAAGAACAATTAAATAATTTGTTTAGGTAATAATAAACCATTTTGATTTCATTTATGTTTGTAATAATGGTTGGCAGCTGAAGTAGAAAACTTTCATTTTCCAAACAGCCCGAAATAGATTCTTGACAAAAAAGAAAAGTTAAAGTTAAATTATCAAAATTAAAAAATTATTAAACAAAATTTAACCTTTAGATAAACAAATAACGATAGTATTATTGTCCGGATCTTGACCAGTCAAATAAAGAGGAATTGGTTCTTCGATTCCATTTTTCCACTAAAAAAGAAAATTTTGGTTCTACTTCACTTTATGAGCCCAATTAAAAATAATTGAATTTTTCTTGGTGTTGCAAAGTAAGGGTATGGTTCCAAAACATTTCTATCCCTATGCCTCGAAATTTCTGAAAGTTAAGATCGTTTTTCTGAAAATTTTAAAAATTGGCTATACCGTTTAGAAATTACGAGGGATAGAGTAAGGAACGGTTCCAGACTCAGTGGGCACAGGCCCTGTACATGAAGAAATGTTTTAGAACCATACCCTTACTTTGCAACACCAAGAAAAATTCAATTATTTTTTAATTGGACTCATAAAGTAAAATAGAACAAAATTTTAATTTAATACCTTCTCTTCAAGCTCTTCATTCAATGGAAAGTCAAAATTTTCGACATTGGGTTTAATTAATTTTCGATGAAAGAATAAGCCAGAAAAGTTCTTAATTATTTAACAATTTAATTTAATAAAAAAAACCTTACAATATTTATTTCGTCAAATTTCTCTCGAGCAAGTTTCCCTTCAAATTCATTGATAAAATTACGGAAATATAAATTCGTTTGTTTGATTGAACATAATTCATTATAGTTGAAAAATTTAAAAATATCAAGTTGAACTTCAGTTGGTAAATACAAAAAAGTCATTTTTGAAAATTTATTTAGCTCTAGAAATATTTAAAAAATATTTAGGTAATTTTGAATTTCAGTTTCCCCATTTTTTCATTTACCAAGGAAATCTATGCTTTTTAAAAACTGTGGGTCGAGAAATAGAGCTCGAAAGAGTCAAAACCCCAGAGGGGGACCAAGCTGATTTTTACGGTCAGATTCAAATATTCAACAAATTTTTAAAACAACAAAACAAAAATGTAAAATATTAAAAACGTTAACAACGTAAAAGCGAAGAAATTAAATTAAAAAATAAAACAGAATTTATACAAAATAAATTTACAATATTTTTGTGAGTTAATTAATTTATTATATCAGTATATACATGAGAGGAAATATTTATTTAAACAAATCTTCTAATATCTTTTTAATTTTGTTCCATAGTTCCACTTTTCAGATCACCCATCAAGTCCTCACAATACTTCCATTCTTTATTTTTTGCCCCATCATAGGCATGTTTCAATAAATTTTTGCAACTTTTCTTCAAGTTGTTGGTAACCGCAACTGCCTAAAATTTATTTTAAAAATTTAATATACAAATTAATTAGCCAGATTTTTGTGCAAGGACAGTCCACCTGTAGTCAACTGATATTTTAATCAACTATCCTAGACAGGGGAGGATTTGGAACTTTTGATTGCCTTTGAACTAAAGAAAGACACATAAAACCCTTGAAAAAGCTTCGGTATAAACTAACACAAGGCCACTGCTTTCCATCCAAAATTAAATTTAAAATAACTCATTTTAAAAGGTGAATTACTGTCCCCTAAAACTCTTTAAAAAACTCTTCTTACATTAGTCTTCATCCTTTTCAGTTCAGTTTCATCCATCGCGTTAATATCACTTTGCTCCAAAAGGCTTGACAATTCTTCTGTTGGCCTTTCAATAAATTCCTGATTGTCAACAAAAATGACAGTAGACAGACTATCTGCTTTGAGAAAATAGGCCAAAGCATAGCTAAATTGAAGAACCCTTCTAGCAATTCCCAAAGCTTCAACAGCGTCTTTAATGAAGGCAGCATCAAGATAAGAGCCTTTAGAGCGTGTTTGGTATTGTTTCATCTTTTCTTCTAGTTGTTGACGAAACTTTTAAAAAATTTTCAAAAAAATTTTTCAAAAAAATTTTCAAACCTTATGCTCAAATTTCAAGCTCTGTTCATGGTTTGCATATCGTCCAGCGTAGAAAATAAAACGTTGGGCATTCAATTCACTCATTTGTTTGTCCTTTTGTTTTTTATCTATAGTTGCCCCCAACTTTTTAGCAATGTCTCCACCTCCTTCAAAACGATTGCATCTAAAGGGAGAGGCTGCCATGTGAAGTTTCCAATCTCCCATACTGAAAAATAAATTTTTCAATTTAAGAAATTTGAGATCAAATAACTAAATCGTTTAACGCTTTTTTTGGGTGAAACAAAGGGGCCCTGACAGTCGCACTTATATTAACACCAATTTTTACCCCGTTAACTCATTCTCAATAATGCCTATAAAATCCCCAGGTTCTAGAAAAAAAACTAACCAAACCCAACAGAATTGATATCTACACGACGCTGTTGTGCAAGACATATGATTACATCCTCTATTCTTCTCAATGGGAACCTAAAATTAAAAGAAATTCAAAAGAAAATTAAAAAAAACTAACCTTGCATTTTGGACAAGGTTTAGTGTTTGAATGAATCCAAGAAAGATTTTTGTGGTCTGAAGAAATTGATCTCATCCACATTGCCAACAATGCACAATTTAAAGGTTCATGCCAACTATAACCACAATCAGAGCAATAAATGTTGCCACAGGTACAAGCCACGCGTGCAGAATCACTCCAAAATTGGGTTAGAGAATAGAGGGTACAGCCAACGCCTGGACATGGCTTGATTTTTGTGTTCCACTAGAAAAGTAAAGAAATTATTTTGGGAAATTTTAATATTTTTGTACCATAACATAGCGTTGAGCTTCTTGCTGTCGATATCGTTGATGAACGCTTGTATCTTTGCATAGTCTAAACAATGTAAACCGGTCCAGAAGAACAGCGCAATTAGTATCTGGGCATTGGATGATGCTAAAAAAGACAAAGATAACATTAGAAAAAGACAAAGAAAGTCGAAAACTCCAAATAAAATTTTCGTGTCTATTCAAAAGCTATTTTTGACCTACCAAGTATTCTCGGCAACAACTTTTTGTCTGATATATGCATCCCAACATTCAGTACAGAAAAGATGAGCACAATTCAAGCCTTGGACTGCCACATGTTCATCATCGCAGAGAATACAACTCTTGCCTTTGGATGAGTAAAGTTGTTGAGGATCTGACTCTTTGGGGTCCTTAGGGTTGTAGGCACCACAGAATTTAGCGGGGATCTTGCAGCCAGCATTAACGTATCTAAAAAAGAAAGTTTTCAATTTACGCGTTGTTTCCCCCAATCACCTTAACACAGCACTGTCACAAGACCATTTACATTCCTGTAACAAAGCCCAACAGACTGGCAACGGCTTCTCAATGGTCGCTTGCAGTGAAGTTGCAATTTTATTCATCCTCTCTTGAAGGTTGTCGACAGTTAGTATTTCGAACTTGAAAAGAAAAAAGTCATTAAAAATGTAAGAACTTTTAAAACTAACGTCAGCTTTTGCCGCTGAACCATGTGGAGGAGCCATGAGTTTATAGAAAAGAGAGCGGCCACAAACAAGGCAGCCAATATGAATTGAGGAAGAATGACTAGATTGCACATTTGTTGCTTTTATAGTAGTCTGCAGATTCTGAGATCCATTGAATTATAATGAAAATTGAATTGAAAATATAGGCAAAGTTTTTAAAAATTAATCCAAGGGCTAAAAGAAATTTTCGGAAAATTTAACCAATTTGAATTAAAAAATTTTTAATCTAATTTGGCATAATGTTTGGCGGTAAAATTCATTTTAAATTTAAGCTTCGTTTATTTTATTGATTTTTTCTGTCCTATTTAATTGTTCGGAGAACTTCATTTAAGAAAGACTAAAATTTTCTTATTTCAGAGCTTAATAGGAATCTAAATAATTTTTTTGGAAATACTTACGTTTTTGGATTTATAACCATTTTAATTTTTTTCATATTATTTCATAATGTTCAATTTTCACTATTTTTCAGAGATTTAAATCAATCGTTATTAAAATTTTCATAATGCAACAATCACCTGATAAAAACGATTCTCTTAGTCTTTTGGAAAGCACTAATCGTGATAGCAGTATGTAATTAGTTGTTTATTCTTAATCGCTGTTTTTTTTTAGATTTTTCGACCTACCAAGCCGATCGGGAACAACTTGAACGTTTGAAGTCACATAATCGTGTTTTGGAATGCGAATTTGCTGATCTTCGTCGACAGATGCCAATACTTAAGGATGCAGAAGGAAAGGATGTTACCGCTGAGGTTTGAGCAAAGAGGAGGGTTTTGATCTTCCTTATTTTGGGAAATCCCTTATCTCATTTTCAGTTTAAGCTGATAATTTTTCTATTTAGTTTGCAAAACTTGCTCGCGAGTTGCAAAAATACAAGGATGAATGTGATAATTGGGCAGAACAGCATCGCAATTTGCTTAAGAAACATGACGATTTTGAGCAGAATACTATGGAAGAAATTGGTATTCGTGACAAGCAATTGGAAAATTTGAAGAAAATTGGATTTGAATTGGAAGATGAAAATGCTCAGGTTTTCTTTTAAATTTTTAATAAAAATTATTGATTTTTAAAAATTAAGCTTCGTGAAAAACTTCAAGATGAAATTGCAAAGAATAAACATGTGGAGCAGGCAGCAGTTGTTGGTCATGGACTGGAACATTCGCTTGAAGAATTGCATGTAAACAAAATTTTAATTTACACTATTTTACATAGGGGAGATAAGTCGGGGTCAAAGGGTAGTCGAGTTGAGTGAGGTATGCTGGGAATGGCTTGGGGCCGAGATTATCATTCATTTCATGTCTGGTCAATTCTATTTTACACGTCCGTCCACAATTTTCACGACAATTATTAACATCTAATTGATGATTAAAATTTTATTTTTCAGATTCGCGATCAAATTCGTAATAGCATTGCAAAAATACCAGGTTATCCTATTTCTTCTTTTTCAAATTTATATCTTTTAGGCTTGTCGTCTGCTCAAATCGCTGCCCAATTCAACGAATCTTTTGCTGATTTAAATCCAGATGATGCTGAACAGATTGCTGCACATATTTTTATGATTCTTGAGAAATTGGAAAATAACACTCGGGCAAATGAAGAACTTCGTTCTGGAATTTTTGCTTTTCTTTCACAACATGGTTTTAATGCTGATGAGAAGAAATTTGCAACGTTTTCTGGTGTTATTAAAGAAATGGTTTGAAAATTTTTAGAAAATCTAAAAATTATTTAAACACTAAGCTTCAAAAACGTCAAAATGAAATCCGTGCGGCAAATGATCGTTTGGGAACAAAATTTGGTGGTAGCATTGGTGGCAAAGAATTTGAGGCTTGTATGCGTCAACTCAATCAGGACTCTCTTTCATTTTCAAATACACTTCCTGGAGGTGCTGCTGATGCGGTTTTGGCCCGACAATCTATTAATGTAAACTATGATTTTTTTAAATTTATTTTGAATAAGGAAACCAGTTTAAATTTACGGGATTTTTAGGCAGCTGCTGCCAGTGGCTAGCCAAATTCTTAAAAAATCTTTAGTGATAATAAAAACGGGATTCAACTAGTTAAAAACAGCTTTCAACTTTTATAGACGACAATATTTGAATCTGAAAATGTGACAATGGAATCAGTTGCCGCAATGCATTTGGCAGAACAAACAGCCAATATTGCAGAATCTTGTGTCAAAATGTTTGATCGTCTGCGTGGCACTGCTGAATTCTTTTTGCAACTTTTGGAGACAATTTCTGAGGGTGGAGAGTCTGAACTTGGGAAAGAATTGATGCAGAAAATTGAGTCGCTTCGTTTGGATCTTAACAAATCAATGGGAGACGCACGTTCTATTTTGGTTGAAGCGAAAGGTTTTTTTGAAAAATTTAAAATTTTTAAACAAAAAACTTTCTCACTTAGATGCCGAAAAGAATGCTCGTTCATTTTTGGAGCAAACTTTGCATCAAGTTTCTGTCATGAATTCAACTGTCTATAGTACAATTTCCAACCAATCAAGAATGGTTGTTGATGTGGGTACTAGTGCTATGGAACCGGGAATTTGTGTTATGGAACCATCTCCGGTTTGTTTTTGGTTTTTTAGAAAAAAATATTTTTGTTTAATTTTTAGAAGTTGCCTCAAAGTAAAGAAATTATTGAAAGTATTTGTGGGGAGCTGAACAGAATTTATGATACTATGTTTGTTCTGCTAGATTTTTTGAAAAATTTTCTAATTAAAATTTTTAGGTCTGACGTTTGCACAAGTAGTAAGAAAATTGCACCAAAAACTGGGAAGGGAACGTCTAAAAGTGGGACGTCAACAAGTAAGAAGAGTAGCGGTGTCAATAAGAATAAGAATGATGGACAATTTAAGAAACCAAAGAATGAGACGAAAGGTGACAAGCGTAATTGAAGTAAATATGAAGTAAATAAATTATATTTTTTTGTGGGGATTGGTTTTAATTTTATAGTGCACTTGAACTATTTGTTTTGACTTGCATTTATTTTTTGGAATAAATTATTCTTTTTAATTTGATACACAATTATGAATTTATATTTTTTTAACTTCCTTTAATTACCGAGGGAAGTATCTGTTGTAGTTTGAGGATTAGAATGTTTTTTTCATTTTTCAATTTCACTTTACAGGCCTTCAATAAATTTTTTCCTTTACCTCAAAGAAATTTCAAAATTTTAATAATTCGCGAATTGGCCAAGTTATTCTGTCCGAATTTGATAAAGTCAAAAATCATAAAATAAATTTGCCAAAATATCAATAGGGAGGGGATTTTTGATTTTTACAGGGAGGGGATTTTTTGCTGGTAGGGGGAGAGGGATATTTTATGTGACGTTTAAATTTTGATTTTTAAAAATTTATTTTTTAAGAATTAAATATTTTTTGACCAAGAACACTTAAAATGAGTACTCAACTTTATATTTTATTATTATTTTTATTTCTACTATTTGTGGCAGCCTTTTCTTTGATATGGTTGGTTATTGTTTAAAAATTAATTTAAATAATTTTCAATTTAAGTCTTGCCCTTCTAACTCCATGGACTAAACGTGTAAAGTCTTATTTTTACACAAAACGTTATCCATTTACATTATATGGAATTTCAAAAACTCCTTTTGTTGGTTTATTTGTTGAGGATTTAAATACACAAAAAGGCTTTAGAAGGACTGAACCAGAAATTTATTTGTCTTTAATTATTCCGGCATTTAATGAAGAGGTTTTTTTATTGTTAATTTGGCCCTATCAAGGGTTGAATCGTGCAAGGATTCGTTGAATCGTGCAAGGAAAGGAAAAATGGGGACGGATGGCCAGACACGGACGGCCAGACAAAACACACACCGTCTGTGTTTCTTAGTTCGTGTTCGTCCGTTTTTGAGTCCCCCTGCCAATCCTTCTTCATTTTTCCTTTCCATTTTTCCTTTCCTTGCAATTAATGAAAAAACGATTCCGCCCTTCTTTTGGGATAGGGTCATTAATTTATAAATTTAATTCTTTAATAGCTTCGTTTGCCTAAAATGTTGGATGAATGTTTGGAATATTTAAATAAGAGAGCTGAAAATTCTGAAGAATTTACTTTTGAGGTTTTTTTGGAAATGTATTTTTTGTTCTAAATATTTTTTATTTTTTGGGTTATTATTGTGGATGATGGAAGTACTGATGCAACTGTAGGTAATTAATTTTTTATAGATTAAAATTTCTTAAATTATGATTAAATAGTAAACATGGTCTGGGGAACGTTATTAAGTGAAACGGAAAATTTATACTAGGAATCCATTTAATTTGGCCATTTAAATTGACATTAAATAGTAAATAGCGTTATCAAGTGATAACGGAAAGTATATACCGGGAACCCCATTTACTCACGATCGGACAGAATTAATTTTTTACTCGTCCATACATATTTCACAATCAAGAACTCGAGGAATAACCAGATATTGGATTTGTAAGATAGAGAAAAACATTTTTGAACCAAATTTCCCCCTTAGACAATTATAACCTGCAGCTTGTTTATTATAGAAAAAAATTTTTTTATCAAAAAATAGAAAGAAAAAACTTTTTTTTCCAGACGTTGCCCTCAATTATTCAAAACAACAAAACCAAAATAATCCAATTTATGTCCTCAAACTTGTCGAAAATATTGGAAAAGGAGGGTCAGTTCGTGCAGGTGTTTTGTGTGCTAGAGGGCGTTTTATATTATTTTCTGATGCGGATGGAGCTACAAAATTTTCTGATTTTTCAAAATTGGAAAAAGAAATGTTTTCTCTTTGTAATGGAGAAAATGAAGAAAAAGAAAAATTTAATGGAGAATCTTCAATTGATTGGACACATCCAGCTTTGGTTGTTGGTTCTAGAGCACATTTGGCAGATGAGGCGATAGCTAAACGTTCACTTTTGAGAACTGTTTTAATGTTGGGATTTCATGCAATGGTTTTTTAATTTTTTTAAAAGATTTTTCTGATAAATTTTTTATTTTTGTAGGTTTGGGTATTTACAGTTCGGACAGTCCGTGATACACAATGTGGTTTTAAATTATTCAGGTTTAAAAAAAATTATTTAATTTATAGGAAATTTAGTTATATAGGTGGACTACTTTTTCAAATTATCGAAGGACCTTGCTAGTTCAATTGATTGGACAGTTGTTGGTTCTAGAGCACATTGGGTTAAACATAGGGGTCCAGGTTTAACCAAAAATTGTAAAAATTGTTCCATATGGAGGTTATAACGAATTTTAGTTTTTTGGCCATTACCCCAAAATTCGAAGCTTGTAGGACATTAAAGTTTAACAATAAGCCTATGAACTGTTTCTTTTCTCATTTTAATATTTCTTTTCAATTTCCAGTCGTTCTGCCGCTGCCAAATTATTTTCTCAACAACGAATTGAAAGATGGGCTTTTGACGTAGAATTAATTTATCTGGCAGAACGTTTAAATTTTTCTATTGCCGAAGTTTGTGTTGAATGGGAAGAAATTGACGGTTCTAAACTTACTCCTTTATTGGCTGGATTGCAAATGGGAAGAGATATTTTATTATTATGGTTTAGATATACTTTTGGGTTTTGGACTATTTCTCAAAATTAAATTAAATTTTTAAAAGAAAATGTTCAATTTTTTTGAACTTCTATATTCACTTGTTAATCATTTAAATTTTTAATTTAAAAAACACTTATTTTTTGGTTCAAATTTAATTTTATGAACAAGCCTGAAAATTTTATTATTCTAATACTTTTCGTTGAATTTTCGACTTTTTTGACACTCAATATTTGTTGAGAATAGTTAAAATTCCCTGTTTTTTTTGTTTTCTATTTTTCTGTTAAACAGGGTTTTTGCCTGTCCTTATTTTCTCTTTTTTAAATTAAAAAATTGAATATAAAATATTTTTATTTTTTTCAAATAAAGCTTTAATTAATTTATTTTTTTGAATATTTAAATGTTTATTTTCCTTTATTTATTTCTCTATTTTTATTGAATTAATGTAATTTTCAGATAAATTGAAAAATTTTATTTTAATGGATTCTAGCAAAAAAAAGGGTAAAGGAAGACAAAAAACTTCAGATGATGAATCGGAAATTTCTTGGAGAAATGTAAAAGATGAAATAATGTCTTTGGAAGAGGAAGAGGTTGTTAATGTAAGTTGGTATTTATATTTAAATTTATTTTTTGTTGGCACCTTTTGGTGTTTGTCGATTATTAGTCTGGGTTCTTTCCCAATCAAATAAAAGGAAATGATAGGGTGTTAAGAAGGTGATTCCTTTGTTATAATTCTGTCTCCGCATAAATCTAATCTCAACACTGGGTTAGCCAACCAACAAGTAAAAAACTAACCAAAAAATATTTTCACATGATATATTTGGCCTCTTAAATTAAAAATTTTTTTTAAGACTTTCGATCCTTTGCCTTTTGCTGATGGTCAATGGGATGTTCACGAATATTGTCGCCAAATTAATTTGACTGTTGTATCCCAAAGTGTGGACAGATTGGATTTAAGCTTTGATTTAATTAAAGTTGAGGCGCCAATTGCAAATGCTTTGAGGAGAGTTTTAATTGCTGAGGTTATTTTTAGAGGGGATTTTTCTTGAAATTCTACAAATGTTTTTAGGTCCCAACAATGGCTATCGAGAAAGTTTTTCTTTACCAAAATACTTCGTGTATACAGGTTTTGTTTTGAATTATGTTGACTCTTTATTTTCTTATTAAATTTAAGGATGAAGTTCTTTGTCATCGTCTGGGGTTGATTCCTATTTATGCTGACCCGACAAAATTTGCTTTTCCTCCTGCCACAGATCCTTCCAAACAACAACAAATAAATACTGATATTTTGGACGAGGAACCTGCTGGAGATGCAAGAAGAAATTTAATATTTAATTTACATGCAGTTTGTCCAAGGTTTTGAAATTATATTTAGTTTTGGTTCACGGGTAATTTTTCTGACAATGAGTAAAAGTGGTCTAGATGCATTTCTATGGTCGCTCTGTCTCATCAATTCCCGTTCATGGTAGAATATAAAGTGGCTGTTACCTCTTATTTTATTCTGACTATCCTTTCTGATTGATACCAAAATTTCGAAGTCATATTTAAAGTTTCAGAATTCTTAAACGGGGAAAATACTGAAAGGAGACTTGTATATACCCTTGCTAACACAAGATATTTTGGTTAAAAATAACTGGGTACAAAAACATTTTAGGAAGTTCATTAAACTTGTTTGTTTTTTTATTTTTATAATTTTAAATTAGCTCAAAAGATGAAAAAGTCAAAAAGAAGCGATCTGTTGCAAAAAGCTCCGATGGTAGTGATTTGGGAGATGGGTGTGTTCGTGAACCTGGAGACAGTGGGAATTGGGTGCTTTACACAAGTGCTTTTAAATGGGTTCCAATATCTTCTCAACGAACTCAATTCAGCACAGATCCACCTAGAATGGTACATAAAGATATTATTTTGGCAAAATTAAGGCCTGGACAGGAAATTGAAGCGAGGTTTTTTGGGGATTTTTCTTTGAAATTTTAAATTTCTCTAGATGTCATTGTGTCAAAGGCATTGGCCGGGACCATGCAAAATTCTCGCCTGTTGCTACTGCCACATATAGGATGCTTCCTCAAATAAAATTGAAAAGAAAAAATTTTACTGATGACCAGGCAAGAAGGTTACAATCTAGCTTTTCTAGTGGAGTTATTGGAAAGGATGAAAAAGGAAGAGGTTTTTATTTTGGAGGTTATCATTAAATTATAAAATATTTTTAAAGTTTATGTAAGGGATGCACGTTCTGATACTTCAAGCAGAAATATTTTTATGCATGATGATTTGAAGGATGCTGTTGAAATGACAAAGGACAAAACACATTTTATTTGTTGGTTTTTTTTATTTTTTAAGATTTTGGGTAACCAAGTTAACCGGTGGTTAAAGATGTGAAGGTTCAAGTCCTACACCTACATATTTATTCACAAGACAATGCCAATAGGATGAATTATTCGAATCAATCTGACATGAAATTTTACCCTTTTGAAATGAGATACGAACCCATACGTTTCAAAAAAGATATAAAAACCCAATGGAAAGGTCTTGTGATTGTTTATCTGTTGTTTTGGAGATGAAACTATTTTTTGAAATTCTAAAAATTTTTAAAATGAGTGAATAATTCCATTGAGATTCTTTCTTGATTTCTTTCAGAAATAAAATTTATTTAATTTTAAAAATCAAATTTCCCTATAATTTAATTTTTAAGTCACTGTTGAATCCACTGGATCAATGCCAGCACACCAATTGGTTACTGAAGCATGTGAAATAATGAAAGACAAAGCTGTCTTTTTGCGTAAACAACTTGAAGAAAAGCTTGCATTAATTTGTTAAATTTATAAGTTTATTTATTTGTTGTTATTTATTTTTATAAGTTTACATAAAAAAATAATAGGGAAAGATCCAAAATTAATAAAATTGCGGGCCAGAAAGTAGCCTCTATAATGAACCAGCCAAGACTACAATCGGAGTTTTTTGCGACATACGGGAAAATGAAAAAATCAAAAATAAGTGTATGCCGGAGTCATTTTGGGCGATATTTTGGGTCATTGATATTCTGGGGTATCCTGTATGTCGCGAAAAACTCCGATTGTAGTTTTTTGTGAGATGATTGTTTCCTTTTAATATTTATTTTATAAAGGAACAATTTTTATAAAAATTGAAATTTTTTTAATATTCATAAAAAATAGCGTTCGTTATTACACGTTGCTTATTTTATTTAATTCCTTGTTTTTTTTAAAAACGCTTTTGTTATTTTATAAAATATTTTTCTATTTTTATTTTACTTTTCAGTTTTCTTTCTAAATTTATTTTAATCAAAAATGACTTCACGTCCCTTAATTTATGGCACTTCAGGATTTAGAGCAAAAGCAGATGAACAACTTCAATTAATTGTATATAGAGCTGCTTTTTATGCTGCTGTCAGGGCAAAGTAAGGAATTTTTCTAGAATTTTCTAAATTTTCTTTTAGAAAGTTGGGGAAAGCTGTTGGAATGATGATTACAGCCTCGCATAATCCTGGATGTGATAATGGGCTTAAACTTGTTGACCCGAGTGGACGAATGTTGGCGATGGAGTGTGAGGAAGAATTGACTAAAATTGCGAATGGGACAGAAGAGGAATTTGAAAAGTTTAAAAATGAAGAGGTTAATTTTGAAAGATTATTTTATGATTAGGAAGCTGACAAGGCCACAAAAACTAAGTTAATATGTACCTCTATAGATAATGTTATTATGAAATTTTTGTCGTATCTCGTCACGGTCAGGTTTCTAGTCATAACCCTCAACATTTTCAAGAAAATCAAATTTCTCCCTGCAATAAGCCACGTAAAAAAGGTTAGATACCTTTAGAGTTGGCGTTTCAAAGACTTCGGGTCCTAATTCTGGTTTTATTATTTTTACGCTAACCAGAGTTTGTTTCAGGTCGAAACTGATTTTCTTTAAAGTTTAGTGGTCAAGGGTTATAACTAGAAACCTGACCGTGACGAGATACAACAAAAATTTCTAAAAAAAATTTTTTTGTCCAGATTCAACAAATCAAAAACAATGAAGAAAAGGACAATCCAACTCCAATAATAGTCATTGCAACAGACACCCGTCCATCATCTGCTATTCTTTATGAAGAAGCCGTTAAAGGAATTAAATTATTGGGGATTTCTGTGGATATTAAATATTTTGGTTTGTTTAAATTTTTTTGAATTTAAAAAAAAATTTTTAGAACACCATACAACTCCCCAACTTCATTATATAGTTAGGGCAATAAATGAAAAGAAGCCTGTGGACGATTATATTCAACAATTTCGAAGGGCTTTGGAAAAGTCTAGAGAAGTAATTTTTAATCTTTCTAAAATTTCTAAAAAAATTTTTTAAGTTCCTCAATATCGAAGAAAATACAAATTTAAGTCCTCTCTATTTGGACTGTGCTAATGGAGTTGGTTCTCTTTGGATAGCAAAATATTTGGAAAATAATGGATTTATTTGTAAAAATGGATTGGATGTTACTAAAGAAGAGAAAGAGAAAAATTTGGGCAAAAATATTTTGGTTAATTTATTTAATACGAATACAAATGATGGAGAATTGTTAAATAATGGGGTAAATCTTTTAATTTTGAAAATTTTTTCGACTCATTCGTAAGCCAATAAACGATTTAATTAGAAAACAGGCCTTGGATCGACTTGTACCCTTTATCCTTTACCCAGATTTTTTTTCAATTTTAAAAGGAAGGGCCCTCGTTCGAAGAAAGATCATTGAGTAGGTGTAGGCCCTGAAGATATTCCCCTCCTTCGTTAACGAGGCCCTTCCCTATAAAATTGAGAAATAAATTTTTGGGAAAGGAATCAGGAAAATTAATGCCGGTGAATTGTATTGACGGTGAACTGTCCTGACATTGAAAATTGATTCTTTTTAGAGTCCGGCAAAATCGCATTCCCGGGATCCCGGAACGGGATTTTTTTCAAAATTTTGTACGGGACGGGATCCCGCGGGATTAATCCCGTAAATCCCGTAATCCCGGTAATCCCGTTTTCAAATTTCCCGGGATCCCGCCGGGATTCCGGGATTTTTACAAAAAAATTTTTACGTAATAGATATCGGGGATATTGGTGTATTTGGAGGGATATCAGTGGATTTGGAGGGGTATCGAAGAATTTGGAAGGATATCGGAGGATTAGCAAAGATGTCTGAGGATTAGTAAGGATATCGCAGGATTAATAAGGATATCGGAGGATTAGATGAGATATAAGTTGCTATAGTTAAATCGGCGGATTATGAGGTCAGTTTGGGCGGATTAAGAGGTCATCCTTGATCCACCTTAATCCTCCTTTCTTCGAATCCCCATTAATGCCTCCGAATCCACTGATATCCCTCTTAATCCCCCCAATTTCTCTTGAGACTTCTCTTTATCCCTACAAATTTCCTAAGATCTCTCCAAATCATCTTAATCCCTGTAAATCTCTTATCCATCTTAATCCTCATATCTTCAAATCCTCTTAATCCCTTTAAATCCACTCACCTTTACCAATATCCTTCTATAACTCCAAATCCACCGATAGCCCTCAACTCCTTTCCAATTTTAAGCGCCGCAGGCAAAAATTTTGAGAATTTTGAAAGGCCAGAAACCAGGTTTCTTCCATTTTCAGCGCCGCAGGCAAAAATTTTTAAAATTTTGGAAGTCAAAAAGCCCTATTTCTTCCTTTTTCACCGCCGAAGGCGAAAATTTTGAGAATTTTGGAAGCCCATGTTACTAGATTTCTTCATATTTCAGCGCCGCAGGCGAAAATTTTGAGTATTTTGAAAGCCCAAGAAGCCAGATTTCTTCCTTTTTCAGCGCCGCAGGCAGTTTACTGGAGAAATTATGAATCCCGTAAATTTGAAAAAAATTCCCGGGATCCCGGGACGGGATTGAGTTTTAAAAATTCGACCGGGACGGGATCCCGCGGGATTAATCCCGTAAATCCCGGAATCCCGGTAATCCCGTTTTCCGCGAAAAACCCGGGATTCCGGGACGGGATCCCGTAAAATCCCGTGCGGGGTCCCGTCCCGTGCCGGTCTCTAATTCTTTTCGTCTAAAAATAATTTTTTAGTGTGGCGCAGACTTTGTAAAAATCAAAACTTCTTTGCCTGCCAATTTCCCAACAAATTTACCTGTCGGAACTCGTTGTGCTTCTTTTGATGGAGATGCTGATCGTTTAATTTATTTTTATCCAAATTTGGAAGGAAAAATTTGTTTGCTCGATGGGGACCATATTTGTGCAATTTTTACTAAATTTATTAATGAAGTAATTTTTATTTATTAAATTAATTAAATTTAATTATTTTTAGCAATTAAACGAAGCAAAAACTAATGGAGAATTAATTAATTTGAATTTTGGGGTTGTACAGACTGCTTATGCTAATGGAAATTCTACGCGTTATTTTAGTGACAAATTGGTAAGATATTAATTAGAAAAACATCAGAATTTTTTTGATAATAAAATCAGAATATTTTTTTTTCTGAATATTATCAGAATTTTTTAATATCAGAATTATAAATTATACTTAATTCTCTGAATAATATCGGAAAATTTTAGTATCAGAATTAATTTTTTTCAAATAATTGACATATTCTTTTGAATCAGAATTAAAAATCAGAATATTTTTTCCTGAATATTATCAGAATTTTTTTTAATATCAGAATTTTATTTTTTTAGAATTTAAATTCTGATTTAAAATAATAAATGAAAAATCAGAATAATTAATATACACTGGTGGAAAAAAGTATTGTTCCCTGGGTATGAAAATTTTTGAAAAGTGATTATTTTGACATTGAAAGTGTAATTGTTTTACTTCTTTTTTCATAATCAAAATTCACAATGTTAAGATCGTGTTGAGGAGTAAGGAACATACAAGGCGGCAAAAATCTCTCATATTACCCCATAAATTGTCCTTTTTTGCCGTGTTGTATATTTCTTGTTGCCTAACTTGAAAGATAATTTTTTCAGGGAGGTCGACTTGAGATATTTTATAGCAAATTTTATTGGCTTTCAGTCAAGCATAAAAGAAAATTTTAATCGCTGATGTGAGGTGACGAAAATATTTTTCAAACAACTCTAATCCCATTATACGTTGACTTTTGAGTGTTTTAGATTGTTGAGATTACTGTGTTGTATGTAATTGATGTGCTCGATCTTTTGGTTTTTATACTTAATATCGAAGAACGTATTCACTGGAATTTTTCAAATTTTTACCTATATTTTTACTATTAGTTCCCGCTAGGGATCATTACTTTTTTCCACCCAAAAATAGGGGGTATCCATTTAAAGTTGAGAGAAATTCACGGGGTTGGAATTTTTGAAAAATTTTTTTCCGTGGAAAGTATCTTAACATTGTGAATTTTGATTATGAAAAATGAAGTAAAACAATTACACTTTCAATGTCAAAATAATCACTTTTCAAAAATTTTCATACCCAGGGATCAATACTTTTTTCCATATAAAAAATGTACCTACATATTTTAATATCAGAATTAAAAATCAGAATTTTATTTTTTTTCAGAATATAAAACCACTGGTTACCAAAACAGGAACTAAACATTTGGAAGAAGCAGCTCTTAATTATGATATTGGAATATATTTTGAAGCAAATGGACATGGAACTGTTTATTTTAGTGATAAATTTTATAAATTAATTAAAGAGGGTGAAAATGGAAAAGAAAAGTTTGAAATTTAATTTTTTTATTTAAAAAAATGTTTTTTTAGAGAACAAGTTCCTCGTTATATTAAATTGTTGTCTCTTTTTTCTAAACTTGTTAATGAGGTAAATATTTTTTGTTTTTTTTTAAATAATATTTATTAGAGAAATGACTTTAAATGATATCTCGATCAAGAATTCTCGGTTATTGAGAACGAGATTTTTCGCAATCTCGATTTTCGCAATTCATTCCCTAGTCCTGTCTCTAATCTTCATTGTCTAAATTCATTTAAAATAAAAATTTTTCCAATTTAAATTTTCCCCTCAAAAATTTCTAGGT